ACACTATGCGGTAAAGTGCACTTTACCGCATAGTGTGCGGTAAAGTGATACTTTCCATTTGCAAATACGTGCGGTAAAGTGCACTTTACCGCACGCTCGTAGGTAAAGTTACTTTACCGCATAGGCTGCGAGTCTGCGGTGAAATAAACTACAAAGTGTGGGGTATTAGTTACTTCACCGCATAGTGTGCGGTAAAGTAGACTGCTTTGCTAATGATACAGCTAAAATTTTATGACACATGCGTTTTTGAGGCTGTTAGGTAAATAACTTCAATATTTTTACATTTTTTTCTGCATCAATTACCACACAAATTTAAAGGAGACACTGAAAGGAATCTCTAAATGAAGTTAATTCTGTGCTTGGGCGAAAACAAAAAACTTGTTGCTAGGTACAGTTCAAATAAATATAAATTGCTTCTCATAATGGGGTACTTGCATCAATTTTATTGCTGATTTCGTTAGTCCATGAAAAATAAGTTAACACGTGTTTTTTCTTTTTCTTCTTAGTCAAAAATTGACGAAGATACAACGCTATGAAATATGCCTATGACGTCACTTATCATATAAATTAGTGACGTTGCACATGCTCAGTATATCTATATATACAAAACTAAATATTTGCATAACTTCCGGAATAATCATATTTGAGCGAAATTAAAAAAAAAGTAACGATTTTTTTTCGATTTCCTACAGTTTACAATAAACAATAATCAATTTAATTTTCCATGCAAGTACCCTATTTGGATTTTTTAAGTATTTTTAATTAGCGATAAGCAGAAGCATTCTTTTTGTATTATAGCATAGATTGTATTGAGAGCGGGGTAGATTTAATTGAAGGGAGCGGAAGGGCGAGATTGTTTTCAAAAGGGGTAGATCTACTCCGAACGGGAGGGTAGCTTTGGCAACACTGCTTTATTGCTTCGATTTTCTTTGGGTTTGGTTTAATACCATTTGGGGTTATGACATGTCCCAAGAATTCTACTGATTTCTTTAAAAACTCGGATTGGTCTAATTGAATTTTTAGATCGAATTGTTCTAATCTTTCAAATATCTTTTTAAGATTTGCAATATGTTCTTGAAGAGAAGTGGAAAATATAATAATATCATCCATGTAAACTAGAGATATTTTGTTTTGTAAACCTACTAATACGTTGTCCATAACTCTTTGAAATGTGGCAGGGGCATTTTTTAAACCAAAGTGCATACGGTAAAATTCGTAATGTGCATTTTCTACATTGAAAGCTATTTTGCTTATTGAGTTTGGATGCATTTCAACTTGGTGGAATCCAGAAGCTAAGTCTAGAGTAGTAAAATAATTACTTCTTCCAAGTCTGTCAAGAATGTCTGTTATATTTGGTAATGGGTATCGATCGTATATCGTTTTTTCATTGATTTTTCTATAATCTACGACCATTCGCCATTTCTTTATGCCTGAAGCATCTAACTTTTTAGGTACAATCCAGACAGGGGATGACCAGGGACTACATGATGGTCGAATAATGTTATCTTCTAACATTTTCTGGATTTGTTTATTCACTTCTTGTTTATGAATATGTGGGTATCTATACGTCTTTGTGTGAACTGGGATTTCGTCTTTGGTCTTAATTTCATGTTCAACTTGATTTGTGAATGATAGCGTATCATTTGGTTTGTGAAAGACTTTAGGAAACGAATTTACAAGTTTTTGTAAAGCTATTACTTCTTCTGAGTTTAAATGATCAGTTCTTAAAAGGTTTAAGGACGTTTTTTTATAAGGTTTGTCTTTATAATCATTAGTGTTTTGGGTAATTATCTGTTCTGCGTTAAACAATTGATAATTCTCTTCTTCAAAAGGTTCACATATTTCTTGAATATCATCAATAAGACAATCTAATGTGAGAATTTTGTCTTTTAAATTATAAACATCAAGTGGTATTTTACCATTTTTAATTGTATTAATAGTTGATGGAATATAATAATTTTCATCTTCTACAATGTCAGTTATTATTTTAGTTCTGTCTGGAATTCTTGTGAGAAATTCACATTTTTGAACTGTGTTAGGGGGAATTTCGATAGTTTGATTTTCAAAGTCACTTCTAAATTGAAATGGTATACATGTTTGATCATTTACAAGACACATATTTTCAAAACCGATATTTAATTTGTTATCATATAGAGCTTTGATTCCTATAATTCCATGGAAATAATCATGAAATGAATACATGAGCATTTCTACTTCATTTATGTCATATTCTTGTAAAATTGGAATTTTAAGTTTTCCTTTAATTATTGTGGTTGTTCCCGTACATGTGGATAGTTTAGATTTTGTATTAGTTATGTACTGATTAAAGTATTTTTCAGCTATGGAAGGTCTTATTAGTGAGGCATGACTTCCGGTATCAATTAATAATTTACAAGGTGGAAATTGAATTTCTATTAAAGGTAATTGATTAATTTGGAATTCATTTAAAGGTAATGCTGATCCGAGGCTTTTAAACAAAAATTTTCGGATTCATCAATTTGTTGTTCATCAGGATTTTCAAAATCTTGATATTCATATTCACTTTGATTTTCTTGGTTTTCACCAGAAGAAAGGTCAATTTCTTCTTCAAAATTTTCATTTTCTGAAAAATCTTGTTCAACTGGAATTAATTGTAAAATATTATTTTCTTCTTTAATTGTGTATTGAACAGGTCTTTTTTGGAAATTTTGTTTAAATGCGTGAGTGCGAGGTTGCACTGAAATTCCGGACATAGGTGTCGGTTTTGGAAATTGTTGATTTGTATTTTTTTTAAATACATTGGATTGTTTATTATAGTTTTTTCCAAAAGTTTGTGAACTAGTTGGGAATTTTTGTTGATGATTCGCTCTTGGCTGAACAATCAACAAGTTAATAGGTTGTGAGGGAAATTGTGATTGTTGAAATTGTTTCTGTGGAAACTGTGTTTGCACAAATTTTCTTTGAGGGAATTGTGTTTTCTGTTTTGAATTAGTGTATGAAGTGTGTGTATTATTATTTTTATTAATTGAATTATTAAATTTCATATGGTTTTCAGCTAATTGGTAATTTAATACGCAACCTGTAGCTGCATCTAAAGTTAGTGGATTTTGCACCATTAAAATTGTTCTTAATTCAACAGGAGAGTTTGTGACTAGATTTTGGATTGCCATTGTTTCATTTTGGTCTACCAAAACATTTGCGACTGCAACTAAATTTTGATCACTCATTATCTTAGAAGTTATTCTATGATTTAAACTTTTTAATCTCTCTAAATAATCAAAAATATTCTCTTTAATATTTCGAGTAGTATACATTAATTCTTGTACTAAGTTTTGTCTAGAATATGGGTCTCCATATTTTAATCTTAAAGCGTTCTTTATATCAATCCATGATTTTAAGTCAGGACGTGACATAAGGAAGTTTCCTGCTTCATTGATTAATTTTGATTTAATCGCTGTTATAACATATTCTTTCTGTGCATTTTCGCCAGTATAATATGTAGTATAAAATTCTTCGATATTACTGATAAAATATTCTAAGTATTGTTTTTCGCCACCAAAAGGCTTAAGTAATTGTACGATAGATTTCAAATTATCACCCATGGTTCTTGGTTGATGATTATTATTTCTTAACGAATTATTAGTACTTGGATTATATAAATGAGTTAAGTTAAATTGGGTTGAGGGGTTCTGTATCTCCTTTTCAGAATCTGACATGTATTTTTTTGAATTATATGCTTATTCATAGATAGAAAAATAAAAAATACTTTCCCAAAAATTGATTATTTTTTCTGAAAATTAAAAAAATTGGAAAAAAAATTTATTTATAATAGAACATCAAGAATAGTTTTTCAAAAAAAATCTATTATTATTATTATTATTATTTTTTAAAATTAAAAATTAAAAAAATTCAAAAATTCAAAAAAATTCAAAAATTCAAAATTAGGTATTAGATATTCATAATTTATGAAAATAAATCGAAATTTAAAATGAATTATTCATTTAGTCGTCAATTATATTTTTAAAATTAGTCATTTAGTTATCAATTATATTTTTCTTTTAAATTACGTATTTATTTAGTCGTTAATTATGTTTTTGAAATTAAATTCTACTTTTTAAATTATTCATTCAATCTAAAGTTTTAACTTTCTTTGAATTAATACTAAAAAAAAATCAAAAAAAATTCTAAATTAGAAATTTTTTATGTTTCGCTTAAAATTAAAAATCAAAAAAAAAAATCAGAAATTCAATTTTTTTCTTTAAAAATTCAAAATTAAAAATGAAATTCTATACATTTTTTTCTTTAAAAACTCAAAATTGAAGCCTCTTAATCAATGGGGTAGTATACAAGTGATTTTTAACTATTGCTTAGTGATATACTCGACGTATCGTACTATTTAGTGTAATCAGTTGCTTTGTTAAAACCGAAATTCACTGGATTTTGTTTTTTTAAATTTCCTCCAAGCCCCGCCCCTACGTGAAAATAAAAGTTCGTGACGTAGTTAGTTTTTCCAATCTGGCAACACATCACGGTTTTGACACCAAACAATTTGCACTGACATTGACCGTCAAGAACGAAACGTCAAATTTAGGTTTTTCCAAATTTGAAATAGAAAAACGGCAAGCAATGAGTAATCGTAAAAACTGTTATTTTCCCGGTTGTGGAAATTCATCGGTTAGTGCGCCAAATAAAATATTTTTGACCGTCCCAAAGGACTACGAGAGGAGGAAGAAATGGGTAATCTCCAGCCATGGAAACACTGTTTTTCCAAAATCTGTGTTGTACTACTGCGAGGACCATTTTGATGTGAGTTTATGTGCTTGATACAGTGGTCGTCTATGTATACTATAATATAATCATTCAATATTTATTAGCTGAAAAATGATGCCGAAAATTGGATGTATTTTAAGCATGTGGGCCAAAATTTGAAATTGAAACCAGGAGTTGTGCCACGTCACCAGTGTGTGAAAGAGTTGCCAGCACAATCGTCACAATTAACGCCACTGTCGCGCAAACGGAAGATGGATTGTTCTGCGTTATCAGAAAATCTCGCAAAAGCTAAACGGTCGCTATTCATAACAAAATCTGAAAGTTTAAACATGAGCCCCTTCAAGCAACAAGAGCGTGATGCAAAAAATAATACTGCAGTGAGTTCATCGCCAGGAAAGTTTCAAATTTCGTTTTGTACTATAGAAAAAGGGAGTCGGACGCAGAAAACAAAAAGTACTCAAACACAACACAATGTACGCCATGTCGTAGCACAAGTAAAACCTGACACAGCGACAATAAGTACAAATACAAGGGTAGGAAGAACACAAGAATTTGATGTCAGTTTGCAGCTAAGTGGTAGTGAAAAATCAGTGAACTCAGACATACAGAGTCGACCTTCATCAAGCGCCACTTCTTCAAGCAATCAGTCTTCATCAAGTAGTGATGCTCTCTTAGTACCCAGAGTACGAAATACTGCATACATGGTGGCTGAAATGGAAAGGTACCCACGTCTATATACGGGCATTCCTCGAGACAGTTTTGGTATAATTAAATTATTGAGTATTGAAACCAGACTAACAGAAGAAGATATTCTGCTAACGTTCTGCAAACCATTCTGGGCATTCAGACTGCGTTTTAGTTATTTGACAAATTTTTTTGCATATTTCGGGCGTTAAAACTGTTTTCGCAAATTGGAGAAAATGATCTGCATTGATTATAGGAGCCGTAGCTTAAAATTTCAGTAACATGTGGTGAAGGGAAATTTGCTCAACAACAGTGGGGATGGTCCGAAAGCAGTTGCCAATGGACGCAGTTGAGTTTTGCTCTAATAGTAGCTGAACAGTTTTATCCAGAAATGCTGTTGTTTTTGACCGTAATGGCGGACGTTTATATTTAAAAATATTGACAGTTCTTGTTGGCTTCAAATCCCCCAGTTTTGCTAACGATGACTTCTTCCAGTAACAGACGGTTGAGGTTACTGACGGATGTAAATGTCTCCTCAATAACCAAAAAATCAGCGCTATTCCATGCTTGCAGCCCCCTAACAATCATGGTTTACTTGATTTTCAAGAATGGTTTGCTTATTAGTTACCTACCTTCGCTCGCTTCGCAGTCATTACATTTCACATCAATTACTTTATGGCATTCTTCATCAATGCACACACTAACCAAATAGCTTTGTTTTCGAATTTTATGTTCTGGCGTGATTCGAGCTTTTACAATGCACTGGGGATGATCCCTTTTCAACTGGACATACCCTACAGCAACGTCTCCGTAAGATTCTCGAGTAGCTCTTTCAATACAGAATAACCAAAACCATTAGGTAGATATACAAAAGTAATCCATAAGATACTATACCTCTGAGCTTTCACGTTCCGCACCCCAGCAATAAAATACTCAGCAATTTCTTCGTAATATATATCTATCATTTCGCATGTTACTTCGGGCAGATTATATGAATCGGCCTGTACAAATCCTGGGTCCGTTGTCGTTCGCATTTTTTTATGCGTTTGGGTAGTCTCAAATTAAGGCCTTCATAGTGATCAAAATTCAGAAGTGAAAAATCCAGCAAAAAACAATACAAACAACGCAAACAAACCACTACATCAAACAACGTGAACAATAAGTTACTGTGACAATGTCATACGATTCACAGGACACCACACGTCGTTGAACTGTTGAAGTCAGCTGTCGTTTTGACGCATTTTGAGCAGCGTTGCCAGATGATCAGCAGCTCGAATATTATTGGTCGGCGCTGTGGCGCTAAATTTGAATTAAAGTTTATTTTTCTATGACTAATTCTATAGACACTATGCTGAAAAATAATTTAATATCCCACTATACCATCACCATTTAGCCTATAGAATAATGTCGAGCAGTTTTTTTACTGATTTTCATATATAGTATACTACCCCATTATTCAGTTATTTGAAAGTTAAAGTTTGAAAAATAAAAACATTGGAAATTTTATTTTTTTCTTGAAAAATTTCCTAATAAGTCTAATATCAATCAGTTTCTCGAAAATTGAAAATAAAAAATGAAAAAATAGGAATTTTTTTCTCTGAAACATTTATAAATTAAAGTTTTTAATTAATTATTCAGTTTCCTGAAGTTTAAAAATTAAAAATTGGAAATTTTATTTTTTCTTAAAAAAAAAATCAAAAATTAAAGTCTTAAATTTATTATTCAGTCTCGTAGGTTACTTGCTTAAAATTATTTTATTTGTATTTGGTCTCAATGCCAAAACAAATTGAAAATGAACTTAATTATGAAACACCAATTACAAAATACAATTTATAGGAAAAAGGGATTACTTACAAGGCACGATGCTTGGTAACTGTAACACTTTAACTTTGTATGTTGGATCTTGTTGCTTCTTTTCTTCAGTAATTTTTTTCAAAAAGTGGAACGAATTTGATTAAACTTTTTCGAAAATTCAATCTCTGGACGGACTCTATAGCACTCTGAAGAACATCTGCTCCGAACTGCGCCAATTATATTTTCGATTCAGAAACTTGTATTTTTAAAAAACATTTATTTTATCAATCAACATTCATTTTTCAGATCTGTAGTAAATGGCAAAATTACGCTAAACTTGAGATTTCAAGTTTAAAGTATCCTCGCACACCATGTGTGTTTTGTATAAAGCTTTTCCACTTCAGTTAGTTTTAATTGTGATCATAGCAAATAAATTTGAACTAGCGGATCGTAAAAGTTACTGCTTAAACTTGTTCACGATGGGTTTGAAGCTCTGGATGTCATTATAATATTAAATTTGCATTATTTTATAAACAAAAAAAGATATAAGAAAAAATCGAAAACGCTTTCGAGGGATGAACATAATAATCATTTGAGTATGCCTAGAAAAATAAATAAAAATAATTGTAGAAATGGGGTGGCAACAAAAATTTTGTAATTTTACCGCACTTCCTATGTCACCCTGTATAAAAAACACTCAAATTCTTTTTTTTGTGTGTTAAGCAGATGATTAACAACGAATCGCTTCCAAAAATGGTGGAGACGGCATATTTTTCAGTTGATTTATAGAAAAGTTGTCGCGCCTCAAAAATTCGTGAAATTTATGCTTGGAGCGAACCTATTGTTGAGTAGTTTATTTTGAAATAATAATCGAAGCTCATTCATATTTTGGCTTCGATAGGGACACAGCCACAATTTTTTAGTTTAATTTTTTTACAAAATTTTATTCAAAGTTTGCTCGTTTATAGTTCATTGACTGATTAGTGCTCGTTTCTGAAGAACCTGTGAGTAATTTTTCCATATTCTTCAAAACCTTGATAACAATACGCTGTTATATTTCCATGGGCCCATATTTGAAATTAGAGGACCTAGTACCAAATCAGAACAATACCATCCAAATCCAATACCCACTTTTAAATGTTACCTCCGCGGAAATTTGGTATTATTTGACACCAGACATCAGTAATTTGGGAATTTTCGGTTGTGTTCTGATAGCCAAATACAAAAGGAATTTCGGGATAAATTTGAATCTAAAGCTAAAAAATATGTTATGGTAGATTATGCTCTAACTGGGTATAGGTTATGGAACATAAGAAAAGAAAAATTCATAATTTGAAGAGATGTAGAATTAAATGAAAATATATTTTTATTTAAAGATAGGTCGGTCAAGTAGGTAGTGAAATGGAAATGAACGAGAGTCAGAATTAAAGTTCAAGAAATAGAAATGAGGAAAATATAAGATAATGCTTTTGAACTTTACATGGCATTTGATGCAACATTTTTTGTAGATGATGTTCTTAGAAATTTTAATGAAATAGGTAATAGCTCTGATAGTAAATTATGGTTGAATGCAATAGACAGGAAACTTAATTCAATTCATGAAAATGAGACATGGCAAATAGCTGAAATGCCTAAAAATTAAAATATAATTGACACAAAAGAGGTTTTTCCTCACAAGAATTTGGAGGAAAAAGATAGAGATAGATAGAAAGCTAGGTTGGTAGTTAGGTTTTTCTTACAAGATAAAAATGTAGATTACCAGAATATCTATTCTATAGCTGCTAAGATGTCTACTATTAGACTTTTATTAATAATTATTGTAAATCAGTTTAAATTTTATGATGTGAAACCCGCGTTTTTAAACGGAGTATTGAGTAAAAATATTTATATTCATCCTCCTGAACCCAAAATGTGAGTAAAAAATCAAGTAAATATAGGAATGATAAAATAAAATTATATTTGTTAGCATTGTGTTTTGAAAGATCTGAGAACGATTACTCTTTATATTTTATGAATAAATTTTCTGAGGTGCCGTATTTGTTGATATATGTGGATGATATTATTATTTCTGGTCCAGGCATAAATTAACTAAATCAAAATAATTGACTTGTTTCAAAATCGTAGATAAAGGGGAATTTTTATGATTGGAAATCAAGTATCATAGAGATTATATATATAGCCTATATTGATCTGCAACCACCTCTGATGATGCCAGTGCCTGTATCGCGTACCAAATCATGGTATAGGAACCCCTTGTGCAGGGTGAGTCATGTACTTTGTCTTATTATACTTTATAAACTTTGAAGACAAGCTTTTTGTCTATTTCACCTTTCTTTTATAAAAAAGAGACCATCAGTGATTTAATTTTTTGATAGGGTCCTAGTCCTACTCCTATATCCAGGCCTGGTTTTGGGCCAGTTCAATAAGGACGGCATGCTTCCCTAAGGTTCCTGTGTGCTTACTTATAGGGTCATTTTCATGCTCTTTGATGCCTATCGTCCCTGATGACACCTCGAATTGGAAGTAGTGACCACAGGTTTCTTTAAGTTCAAATTTTACCTTTTATTTTATATTTTTTATTGAGCATTACCCAATTGGGATGTCTCATTTCCATGTTGAGTTCGCTGTTAGGCTCAGCATGTGAATTGTCAGAGCAGAAGACTCAACGAAGTCATTTTGTATTGTATATTTTTTATTGAGCATTCCCTAATAAATGGAATGCCTTATTTCTATGTTCAGTTTGCTGTCCGTTTTCTGAGTTTAAGGGCAGATAGATCAGTAAAAAGGGTTCTAATTTAAATAAAATGATCGATCATTATTATTATTTTACATAATAATATTTAATTAAGTGTAGTACTGGGTTGGAATCGAATTATTCTTACATTTATGATTTTCATTAAATTGACATACTAGATTTTATAACTTTTTATTATACTTTTATTAAACATAATTAAGTGGAGAGCGTTGCTGTATTATTTCTTTTTATACTTAATATTTCAGTTTTAATTTTGAGGTCTATTTCGAAGTTTGAGACCTTATAAATAAAAACTTCGTGGCGCCCTTAGTAAACACCGCTTAAATACGACCATAAATGCTTTCCGATGAACAGCTGCTGTAAGCAATAACATCTTTTTAATCCAAAGTAACTAAAAACGTTACAACATAATCCATACCCTCATTAGAAGGAAGCGGTTTCAATGAAATGTTGTATAGTATAAAGCCAGCAGAATATGTCTATTGGGATGATGTTAATGAACGGGTGAATGGACTGAGACTTTAATACGCATCTAAAGAAGCTGGCAATACATCACTTAATATTATCAATAATATCAATTATTCAAGAACTGCTAGAAGCAAAAGTTATACATCAGTGGTCTATTCAGAAAACTAAGTTCAGTTCTAAAATGAGTCTCGATAAGGCCAGATGTCGTTCAGGGCGGATTCAGGTTTCCATTCCTAATACTAAGCCCACGCTTCCTCTTATCAAGAACTTTTGGAGATTTATAATTTAAACTTGCCTACAGAAAAAAATTACGCTGCTAGCAAAGAAAGATACACAAGTCAAGAAGTGAAATAAATCACTTTATCTCGAGAATGTCACCAACTGCTGGAAAACATATGGCTTCAAAGAAATATGTTGATGATTCAGTTTTGGTTTTCTACGGGGCGATTTAAAAAATTTGAAATTTGAATTGATAAAAGTTACTAAAAATAGAATATTTTCACCGGTGGGGGGGGGGGCTAATGTAACGCGAGCCCTCCCCCCACTCCGATTTTCCAACAGGTCCAATATTTTAGCACCCACCTAGCACCACCTAGCACCCAACTTACAGAGCTAGCACCACATCCCCTAGCGAGTTATAGAACATTTTCACCGGGGGGGCTAATGTAACGCGAGCCCCCCGGTTATCCTACAGGTCCAATTTTTTAGCACCCTATTGCACCTACCTAGCACCACCTAGCACCCAACTTACAAGGCTAGCACCACACCCTCCAGCGAGTTATAGAACATTTTCACCGGGGGGGGGGCTAATGTAACGCGACCCCCCCCCTGTTTCAAATAGGTCCAATTCCAATTTAGCACCCTATTGCACCCAGCTAGCACCACCTAGCACCCAACTTACAGAGCTAGAGCTAGCACCACACTCCCCTGCGAGATATAGAAAATTTTCACCGGGGTGGAGTGGGGGGTTAATTCAACGTGAGCTCTTGTCGTTTTTTCAATGGGTTCAATTTTTTA